GTCCCAGTACCAGTCAGTCCACGACGTCGATCTTTTTGTTGGAGGTATGTCTGCGCCAGCGTAATGCCGCCATTCAGCCAATTTCGATTGAGTTTTGTGAAACCAAATCCAAAGTAATCTCCATAGGGAGCCAATCAAAACTCAAAAAGAAAGGAGGGGGAAAAGCAAATAAACTGACTGAAGGACAGGAAAACGCAAATGATCAAGTCGTTTTTGTTTGAAGTTTTTCATCTGATTGTTTAAGACGGGGACGTAACTTTTCTTGACCGGCCACAAAGAAAAGTGAATCAAAACAAATGCTATCCCGGACTACTTTATAGAGTGCATTTCGATTGAGTGTCGTGGTTCTAAAACCAAAGCGATCACAACTACCAATCAGTATATAGGCGCATATCACAAGGAACCAATGAGAACTGCAAGAAAAAGCAAGCAAACTGCCTCAAGCGCGGGGAAACGCGAGTTATCAAGCCATCTTTGGTTTAACTTTTTGATCCTCATTGATTGGTTCTAAGGTGGATCGAGTTTTCTGGACCAATAACAAAGCATAGTAAAGAAAAACCAAAGCAGTCTTGAATTGTTTTTGATGTTTCATTGAAAATTGCTTTACAATTTTTAATTAACTGAGTATTTGGTCGAGATATGTGCCTGAGCTATTTCTTAGCTTGTAACCACAATGCTGCAAAATCTTTTAACGAATGTGAACCAGGTACACGGGTGTTCCCGAACCCAACCACTCGTGTAGCCATTCATAACGAAGGATTCGCTTTATCACACCTACTCCAGGACCCACAAAAACCTTTGTTATGATTCTTCACAGGAATGTTGGAGCCGGCAGATTCAGAGGGAGGAGCACTAGGGAAAACCTTTCAATGTTTATTAGCTGACCAGTTCAAACGCCTACGAGAGGGTGACCGCTTCTGGCATGAAAATGCGCCAAACCGAAGAAAGAACACTGATAAAACAGCTTTTACGCGATGCCAACTGCAAGAAATAAGAAAGGTTACATTGGCCAAGATAATCTGCGACAATGCTGAGAACATCCCTTCTATCCCCAGGAGGGTATTGCAACAGTCAAAGACATTCGTCGATTGTAAAAAGCTACCCGAAATGAACCTGGATGTATTTACACCAGATTTCAGATGTCCGCGCCAGGGAAGGTACGTTTGCAACTATTATTGATTTGAAAGCAACTTCACCTGAATTCGGTTTGAACTTTGATTAACTGTTATTTGACTGTTTTGTTTTCCGACAGAGTTTTGGGTGACGGCCCAGACCTTGAGGATGAAGATAAAGAAGGATCGACTCGACTGAGTAATCCGTCCACGAATATGGGATAATTCATCAGCCTCTTGACCCCGACTCGTGGATTTGCACTTGATTAATTCTAACTGGGTTTCATGTTTTAAGCTTGATTTGCGCATGATGTAGATCATATTTTAAATTTAAATTCTTAAGATGGAGTATGAAAATTTTCAGCGAGATAGCTTGTTTATGAAATGTAACGTTTCTTTGTAACTGGCTGTACTGTTTTTCAAACTTACAGGGGATGGCGCCATTATTATTACCATTTGTAGCCTGCAAGATGTTGCCATTGGTGTATCTGACAGGCATTAAGCTAATTTTGCTGTTGTTGTTGTTTCGTAGTTTCGAAACGATCGCCTTATATATTAATGTAGTAAAGTTTACTTCAGTGACGCATCAATCAGTGTCTAGCTCGTTATTGACTATCAACTTACATGCGCAGCGGATTCGGCACTTTTCGAGTATCAGCCTTATAATCTAAGTTCACAAAGATTGATAAACCATCTCGCTTTGTTGCTTAACCCATTACAAAATAACATCAGTAGGCATATTCTCCATACTATTCTCTGTACATCTCATTGGGTGCTGACAAGGAGAATATTTTTAACAATCAAAAGCTTGTTTAGCTGATGATCAGTTTCTCTATTCCCGGGACCTATATGAATGGGGTGATATTATGAGAAGAAATTGGATGTTGCACTCTTAATTAATTGTCAATACTCTACGTGAACTGAACTATCCGCCTCAGTATCGCCGGAAGCATCTTGTTGAAAAGCGATTTTCTGTTCATAGCAAAACTTGATGAAAGAAGAGAAAGGTTTATGATTGGTCACCGGTTTAAGTGAGTAGTCGTGAATACAATTGTAGAGTTAACCCTTAACTTGTTGTAGCGTTCAGTCACTTTGCCACATGTGCAACCTCGAGACAGTTGAATTTCACTTCGATCCCCTTCAGACATCAATTAAGTACAGTTGATTGAAAAACCAAAAAATAAATAAAAAAAAAGGTCTGTGGGTGAGCTCGTTAACCCTAGTCAGACATAAAATTACTGGCTCATGGATCTCCAAATCGTTTTTCGTATAAAACCGCAACGTCAGGCATCAGTAACACGTCTCTTCTTATTGAACACCATCTGAACTTTGCACTTTATTTTTTAACCTTAGGAATTTCTACTTTTTGATCAAACTGCTGGGCACCGTCGCGAATAGACTAAATTCCCGACAGTTGTAAATTTAATTATTCACCAGAATGCCTTCGAAGAGTTCTACTTCGTACAGGGCACTTTTACCAGTTCTTTCTTTAAAAATTTCTCTCTGTAAGCCAGCAAATCTTGAACATAAAAAGGGGTCAACATGTTCCCCTAAGCTGTATTTTGGTTCACTCGATGTAAAGATCTCTGACAGTGACAGTGCATCTTTTACTACAATACCCCCAAAGGCCCTGTTACGCTGAGTAAAAGTACATCTTCACAGAAGTAAAACCTTTTTAAATCTACACTCCGTGAAAATAAGTTTTCTGAATTCGGTGGATATTTCCGACTGCCGGGCATTTAGTCTATTTGAGATCTTGCCCGGTAGTCTTTTCAAGTGTCGACAACCAAGCGATTTTGTGGTTCGATAAGCTCGGAAAAATGATTTTAGAATCACATGGGATATGTAGACAAACATCGAGTTTTCCCAATAGCTTTTATTTGAGGTTTACTGCAATGTTTCCCTCCATATTTACTGAGCTTGAAGCTCTCCCTTACTGTCACGCCACAGTGGTATAGGAGACAACATTTTACGAAACCAGCGTGACCTCCCGAGCTTTAAAACATGCTTGGTACGTTCAAGCTAACCAAAGCCAACGCAATCCTTTGAATAGCTTGGTATTTCTAAATAAACTCGAATATTCCGAATAGTCTGTCCAAAAGCGTAAAATTCCTAAGTGGCAACAACAGAGCGATGTTATAGGATGCACAATCTCGGAAAATTTATCCAGTTAAGGAGACTCCATAGGGTTTTATGACCGCGTGAGCTTTAAAACTGTCAACATGAAAACAAACACGGCGGCTCGATACGATCGCACGATTGTTATCTGAAAAGGTGTGTTAAAAACAGTTTCACACAATACATTTTTTTCTGTGATGGAACCTGGGGTTTCCAGCAACTGCACCCGTAATATTCCTAGGCCTTCTACGCCTAAAGAAGGGGTCAACCGAAAAGAAGACACTGTGGGACAGACGAGGCGACAGATTCGAAAGTTTACACATGCTCAGATAGAGATCTTGGCGAAGTTCTATTCCATTACGTAATTTTTTGTGACAAAGAAAATAAGGATCTTTCGAGCAAGATTTATCGCGTTTCCTTGAGTGGAACTTCCCAAGATTTGCTGGACCGCTAAACATAATTGTGCCCTTCCTGGTGTCTGTTGATGAAAACAGTCATAAGAACAAATTTGAGACAGAGGAAGAAAAAACAAATTTAAATTGCAAATAGCGAGAAAACTGCCATTGTAACCCCTATTTTTTCAGCTTTTAAATAATCAGCAGGACAAATTTCACAAATTGTGAAAATTTTAAGAGATTTTACCGAAGCAAAGGCAAAGCAAAATTATCGCTGGCGAGCGCCTCCCTTCGTGGAGCCTTTGCTTAATAACGAAAATCACTTTGATAATATTTACTACAGCAAACGATAGTCCGAACCTTACTCATCTCCCTCTTGATGGCTTTTAGTGACATAGAAAGGCGAAAAGATAAAAATTTCAGTCTAGAAGAAGAATACGCTGGCGCGCCCGCCAACATTGAGGAAAAACCCTATGGAGCCACCTTAAACAACAATTTAATATTTAAATCGCTTGAAATTTCTAATCAAACATCTGATATTACAAGTTTGGTAACAAACTTCTGATATAAGGAAGTTGGAAGAAACTTTTAATGGAAATTCTGTGAAAATTTCTGACTGCCAGGCATTTAGTCTATTTGAGACCGTGCCCGGCTGTCGGGCATTTAGTCACAGCGTAAATTGTAACCTTTTTAAAGAGCTGCATTTTCTAAGAATATAGACAAATCAAGCATTTCCTCGGTGTAAAAAATCGATCAATTAAAAACAATTGTTTTGGGCTAAAATTTATGTTAATTACATCAAATTTAATATCTGGAATCGCTCGACATTTCTAAACAAACATTTGATATTAGAGGGTTGGAAGAACCTTTTAGAGCTTATCTTTTTTTTGCTCTCTCTTTCTCGAATCCAGTGGCTGAGATTCCCTTGTCCTCCGAAAGATTATCTCATTTCAAAAACATATATGCGATAAAAGAAAGAGAACATTTATGGGTGTTTTTCCATTTGAAAGTGTTTCAGAAAACACGGCCGATGGAAATGTAAAAAAGACAAAAGTTTGACGATTCGGCGAAGTACTACCGGACCGTGCCTGTAGTTGGAGATAAGAAAATCTTGTCCACCAATGACCTAACAATCCGTCAAGCAGCTATGAACAAGTGTTTGTAAAATCGGTTGTGCGTGCTCTACTTTCCATGAATAATCTTATGTCAACCGAGCGATATTAAAGGTGCACAAGCTCGGAGAATTTATCCAATTAAAAAAAAAATTAATATTTGGAATCGGTTGACATTTCCAAACAAACATATCATATTAGAAGGTTGGAAACAAATATCTGGTATTAGAAGGTTGAAAGAACCTTTTGATGGAAATTCTGTGGAAATTTCTCACTGCCGGGTATTTACTCTATTTGAAACCGTGCCTGGCTGTCGCACATTAAGTCACAACGTAAATTGTAACCTTTTTGTAGAGCTTCTTTTCAAAAACTGTGAACAAATAAAGTGTTTTCACGTAGTAAAACATTGATCAATAAAATACCATTGTTTTGGGCAAATGTTTATTTTGATTACATCAAATTTAATATTTGGAATTGCTTAACATTTCTAAACAAACATCTGATATTAGAAGGTTGATAGAACCTTTTGACGGAAATTTTGTGAAATTTCTCACTGCCGGGCATTTAGTCTATTTGAGACCGTGCTCGGCTGCCGGGCATTAAGTCAAAGCGTCAATTGCAACCTTTCTTTAAGAGCTACCCTTTCAAAAATATAGACAATTCAAATACTTTTTCGGTGTAAAATCGATCTATAAAATACCATTATTCTGGGCAAATATTTATTTTGATTACAACAAAATTATCACAACAAAAGACGCATTAAACAGATAAAGTTCCTGTTTGGGGTAGTAAAAAAAGAAATTTGAAGTCAGAAAAGTTAGAGCTGTTCGGTAGTTTCATTGGGAAGAATTTTATTTAATTTAATAGCCTTAGGGTCATCAAAAAGTCTTTATAACTTTAGTCTCAAAGCATCGTTCTCGCGTCATAACAGACCGAAAAACTATTCGAAGGGTTCTTGGATTGGCCATGGGTCCAAACGAGATCAGATTAAGCCATCGAAAAGAATCAGCTGTTTTCAAATCAAAGAACCGAGCGTAGTCACTTGTTAATTAGCCGCTGTAAGAATATTGGTGATGATCATAGCGTTAAAAAGATCAGTAAACTAAACTCATCAATGTTTGTAGACCATATAGAGAATAATACGTGGGCGCGCCTAGATATGGGATTTACCTTCGAGTGTTACAGCATCTAAAGGAAAAATAAAGCGGGTAATAACTTATCTATTTATCTAGTTTCTTCTCTTTCTCCATTGAATTGAATGGCTGAAATCCAAATCAAATCCCCACTAGTCCAAAATTGCCTTATTTCACTAACGAAATATTTGCAAGGTTATAGGAGAAATAAAGCCAATTAGAGCTTATCTATTTTTTGCTCTCTCTTTCTCGAATCCGGTGGCTGAGATTCCCTTGTCCTCCGAAAGATTATCTCATTTCAAAAACATATATGCGATAAAAGAAAGAGAACATTTATGGGTGTTTTTCCATTTGAAAGTGTTTCAGAAAACACGGCCGATGGAAATGTAAAAAAGACAAAAGTTTGACGATTCGGCGAAGTACTACCGGACCGTGCCTGTAGTTGGAGATAGGAAAATCTTGTCCACCAATGACCTAACAATCCGTCAAGCAGCTATGAACAAGTGTATGCAAAATCGGGTGTGCGTGCTCTACTTTCCATGAATAATCTTATGTCAACCGAGCGATATTAAAGGTGCACAAGCTCGGAGAATTTATCCAATTAAAAAAAATTAATATTTGGAATCGCTTGACATTTCTAAACAAACATCTCATATTAGAAGGTTGGAAGAACTTTTTTGTCGAAATTCTGTGAAAATTTCTGACAACCGGGCATTTTATTCTATTTGAGACCGTGCTCGTCTGCTGGGCAATAAGTCACAGCGTAAATTGCAATTCTTTCGAAGAGTGGTCTTTTCCAAAAATATAGACAAATCAAGTGCTTTTTCGGTGTAAAAAATCGATCTGTGAAAAAACTATTATTTTAGGCAAATATTTATTTTGATTTCATCACAAAAGATGCATTGAACCGATAAAAGTTCCTCTTTGGGGTTATAAAATAAGAAATTTTAAGTCAGAAAAGCTATAGAGCTGTATGTTCGGTAGTTTCATTGCGAAGAATTAACTGACTCGAAGGTAAGAATGAATTGCGTAAGTTAGTTACATGTATCTACACCAATACCTTATTCAATATTTCCTACATTATTTAATAGCCTTAGGGTCATCAAGAAGTCTTTACAACTTTAGTCTAAAAGCATCGTTCTCGCGTCATAACAGACCGAAAAATTATTCGAATGGCATTGGGTTCCAGACGAGATCAGATTTAGCCGTATTTTTTTTCGAAAATAATCGGCTGTTTTCGAATCAAAGACCTGATCGTAATTATTGATTAATTAGCCCCTTTAAAGATATTGGTGATAATCATAGCGTTAAAACATCAGCAAACTAAACCAATCAATATGTAGAGAAAAGTACATGGGCGTGCGTACATATGGAATTTCTCTTCGAGTTTTCGAGTCAATAGCTCACAATTTTCAATAATTGACTTAGTCCTTACTGAAAGAAGAAATCTTTCAGGGACACAGCCAAAAAAGCCTGTGGAAAGCCTTCCAGTTGACGATTTTCGTTCTCAGCCGCGAGAAATGCCATCACCAGAGCCACTGAATACGTAACTTTTGGTTTTTCTCTTCGTATTTTGGTTTTCTTCCCTTTATAAGAAAGTTTTAACGTCACCGTCTGTAAGCAATACGGATTTTTCAGTGTTTTAATAGCTATAATTCGAGAAAAATTCCGTCAAACAACATTGGATTTAGAAGAGTGAAGGCTTTGCTGTTAGTTCATCAACCTGACTGATTGACGCGAAAGGCGAGTTACGCGTCAGCAACTGATTGGCGATATCAAACAAATTGAAAAAATATCGTACTTTTTCACGTGTGTTGTTACGGCTTTTCTCAGGGCTAAAAAACCTTGTATAACACCGTAGTTTATATGTCGTCAACCATTTTTTAGCAGTAAAATCAATAATTAATTGAATGAACTGTGTGTTGACGGCTCCAAGTTACTTCGTTTTCCTTTTTTTAGACAATATGGCAGGACGTTTCCTCGGTGCCTCACTGCTCATCTTGATTGTGGGATTTAAGCAGGGATCCTCTTCTGTTTTGAACGACCCAGACCAGTTAGAAGGAGACACCTACACTACAGCAGACGTGGCGGATGACCTTGCCGACCTGAATGACCTGGAAATGGAACAGGTGCAAGACAGCGTGTCGGCCGACGTTTGCAAAGAGATCAAAGCTAAATTCAAAGCCGTGGAGAAAAAATCCATGGCTGAAGCCAAAAAAGAAAAACCTGATAGCCTAATATCAGGGAGGCAGGCAGCATCTAGAGCAAGTCTGAGAAAAAGCTTTCAGATACTACAACATGGTAAAAGATCAGTGGTGGACGACTCGAAAGTGCTTAGGGCGTTACAGAATGAAGCTTGTGTCAAATGCGCCATACGAAATATTTGTGAGACGAAGAAGGTTTTGAACCTTCTAGGAATATCTTTGAATATGAAAAGGTAGGCTTCCAAAACCAAAACACAAAAATGGCGTTCAGAGCTTAATTACTTAAACGTGCATTTTTAAAAATGTCAAATTAAAATCTTAAAATGCGCGCGATTTATTGAGAATAATGTATTTAGGTTAAAAAGTTGATAATCTTTCAAGTTGTCATGATCTCCATTAGGCTGGAACTCCCTAACGACCATGTTGCAGCAAACAGCTCAACCGAATTCGGACCGAACTAGATTCCACCCAGTACAATTACTATTGCTAAAAACCTGTTCAATGATATATAGTTTCGGGTGGTTTTTTTAAAAAAAAAAGTGTGTGCATGGTTTTTGTTTTCTTTAAGGCACCCGCGAAGGATTGGATTAACCATAATTCCTTAACTTTTCCTTGAACGAAAGTCTGAACTCTTTCTTTCGAGAACATATTTTACTCTTGAGCTTAAGCCTACGTTTTTCTTTACACCGTAATTTGTTGAGCCAAAGCTGCTAAAGTCAACTCTGGCCACGGCACCTCAACCTTGCTAATACCTTTATCGTCCTTTATAACTACTGGCGCGTTTCTTTTTTCATTTATAGCATTTCCAAATTTGTGGTGGCATTTTAGTTTCTAACGGAACTCTGTTAATAAACAAGTTATGTTTACTTTTCTCTTCAGGAAGAGGAGAAGAAGGATATGCAAGAGGAAGGTTCTTAAATGTTTAGAACACGAACCCCTGGGGAACATAAAATGTCCGCATAAGTCTGAGGAGAAGGCCCGTTTTAGAACAATTGATGGAACTTGCAACAACGTCGATCAACCCTTTTTTGGAGCAGCTGGTACTCCATTCATACGAGTACAACCAGCTGATTATGAAGATAAGGTCTCGGCACCTCGCGTGGCACAAAGTGGAGACCAGTTACCTAACGCGAGGAACGTGAGTCGTTTCGTCCATGGCAGCAATGCAGACCGCCAAAACCCTAATTCTCCAAGGCTGACCCACCTGGCCATGAATTGGGGTCAGTTCCTGGACCATGACATAGCGCTGGCGGAAGTTCAAAACGTTACTTGTGAAACTGTTCTCTCTAATGAGTCAGAGTGTTTCAACGTTGAAGTTCCGGCCGATGATGACGTCTTCCAAAGCAGAGAAGTTAAATTCTTCGAGTTGGTTCGAGATGCTCCCCATGAGTTTAAAATAGAGTGTTCACCAGGACCAAGAGAGCACACCAACACGATAACAGCTTTCATCGACGCCTCCAACGTTTACGGCTCTAACGAGACGGAGGCTGAACACCTTCGAGCACCCGACGGGACAATGAGAATTATGACAGCTCGTCACGGCTGCCCCCTAGGGGATCTTTTACCCGCACAAACAGATCGTGAGACACCATGCGTGTCAAAAGATCCTAACAGACCTTGTTTCGTAGCTGGAGACGAGCGCGCGAACGAGAATCAAGGTGAGGTCACCAAGTGCCTTAAAAAAGACCGTGGTATATCGACCTTTTTCAAACAGGTTTATAGCGTATTCAGTTTGATTATTTACGATTAAAACTGTAAAATAACGTTACGTCTACACATGTATACGTAGACCACGCATTGTCAAAGGTACAGGGTGTCAAGACTTGTACACAGACATCCCTATTAAGACGTGACTGAAATGATGAGATTGCACATGAGCTCTGTTTAAACCTTTTGGTCCCAAGATCTCAACACTATTGCTTCTGAATGTCTACCATACCTTTGGTCGGAGGGGAAACTGCTTTTCGGTCATTTCAGGTAATGAAATAATTCATACTCGACAAGCAATATAGAGAGTATCCTGCGCGGGTATTTGTCGAACATCTTCCTGTCTCAAGCCCTTCCATCTCCTCCTATATTGAATAGTTCTTTTATCTTCTTGCTAATGATACGTATTTTATGGATACAACAGGTCTCATGTCAGTCCATACTCTCTTCGTCCGTGAGCATAACCGAATAGCAACATTTTTCGATAAAAACACAGGATGGGAAGCGGAGCAGATTTACCAGGAGACCAGAAGAATAGTTGGGGCGGAATTACAATTCATTACATACAACGAATTTCTGCCACTGCTTCTTAGCCCCAAAACGGTAAGTAACTGTTTTAATCTCTCTTTTTTTTTTGTCTTTTTTTTTCGAATTCCCAACTGACTTCTTTTCTTCATTTTGTAGATCAGAGACAACAACCTCGCTCTGCTGAAAGGAAAACGGTATTTTAATGGTTACAACCCTGGTGTCAATGCTCAAATGTCTCAAGCCTTCTCTGCGGCGGCTTTCCGATTTGGTCACAGTATGGTTCAAGAGGAGTTTCGACGCTTAAGTCAGAATGGCTTTGAACACAAATATAGCAATGATTGTAAGTCAGAGTTCTTGCCCATCCCTGTAAAGGACTTTGGTAATCCAACCTACTTATACGATAAGTGTAATGGGGGTGTCGATTCCATTTTTAGAGGCTTGGTTAAAAGTTCAGCAGCCAAAGTTGATGGGTGAGTACGAGATAAATTTTTAATAGAATCGAACATTCTTCTAAGTATATCTTGTCTGGAAAAAGCGAGCTAATAGATACATTTTCATAATGAGGGGGAAGGGGGGATTTATTAGGCGAAAGTGGAAAAGTGGAGGTTGTGCGGAAACTAAAACAGTTAATTAGACGAAACCACCGAACGCAAACTCATTTTATCCGAATATTTTTGATTGAAACTTTTTACCTCTAGAAATACAAAAATCTGTGCTAGAATACTCGCTGAAAAATATTTCCTATCAGGTAAGTGATAGGAAATATTTATTATTAAAGCAATAAATCCAGTCATTGAAAATATCCGATTTTATATCAATTATGAGTAGGATTATTAATACTCAATACACGATAATGATTGGCACACGATTAATCCTTGGGTTGGTCTGATTCTTTCCCAGGCTCTTTTCCAAGTCTATACAAGAAAACTTGTTTCGAGGCCCTGGTGACTTGTCCGACCTAGTATCCCTGAACATTCAAAGAGGACGCGAACGTGGTGTGCCTTCATACACAACATATCGAAACACGTTTTGTAAAATTACGCCTATAGTAAACAGCTTCGAAGATCTGCAAAAGGCTTGCATCACCCGAAAAGATATAGATAATTTGAAGTCCCAGTACCAGTCAGTCCACGACGTCGATCTTTTTGTTGGAGGTATGTCTGCACCAGCGTAATGCCGCCATTCAGCCAATTTCGATTGAGTGTTGTGAAACCAAGTCTAAAGTAATTACATCAGCCAATCAAAACAAAGCAAATCATCATAGGGAGCCAATCAGAACTCAAAAAGAAGGGAGGGGGAAAAGCAAGAAAACTGACTGTAGAACAGGAAAACGCAAGTGACGAAGTCGTCTTTGTTTGAAGTTTTTCATCTGATTGTTTAAGACGGCGACGTAACTTTTCCTGACCGGCCACAAAGAAAAGTGAATCAAAACTGACAGATGCAATCCCGGACTACTTTATAGAGTACATTTCGATTGAGTGTCGTAAATCCAAGATCAAAGCAATCACAATTACCAATTAGTACATAGGCACATATCATAAGGAGCCATTTAGAACTGAAAGAAAAAGCAAGCAAACTGCCTCAAGCGCGGGGAAACGCGAGCTATCATATAAACTACAGTGTTATACAAGGATTTCTAGTCCTGCGAGCCTTTACGATTCTCATTACGAGGTACTTTGTCGGAACGTTTTCGGATTATGGCTGCTGAAACACGTATCACTTTCAATGACAGTGACGTTCAAACTTTCCTAGAAGGGGAAAAAAACCATTATGAGAACTAGGCACAAGCTCTTTGTTTCCTTTTGCAGGATCAAAGCCGGTGCTACCGAACCTCGCCCACTCGAGTAGCTAATCGTAACGAAGGATTCGCTTTATCATGCCTACTCCAGGATCCAAAAAAAAAAAAAAAAAACGCCAGGCACTAGGGTATATCTGTATTTCACTTTCGTTAAACTTACACAAGTGAAATAATTAAGCGCAGGAGGAGGAAGGTTTAAAACAGCGTTTGTAGTAATTGTTCCTTTGTTATGATTCTTCACAGGAATGCTGGAGCCGGCAGATTCAGAGGGAGGAGCACTAGGGAAAACCTTTCAGTGTCTATTAGCTGACCAATTCAAACGCCTACGAAAGGGCGACCGCTTCTG